GACGATTCTTCCATCATCGCTGCGTCAAAAACTCCAACCAAATGAAGAGGAAGTTTTTATCTTCTCATATAAATATAGATCTGGATAAACCCAAAGATATAAAAGTATCCGTTGATTTCTGAACCAGTCCTGCTGTAATTATTTAGGCTATTATAAACAAAAATCATCTATCATATTGCTCATTACACTTAGCTATGCTAACTATTTGATTCGCTTGAGAGATGAAAGGCAAATGATTATTTTAGCTAATGAACGAGTTCTCCAAACCAATGTCAATCTATAAATTTTCATAGTTTGCCAAACTCTTAAAGTGATCCAATCTAGTCTTAAGCTTGAAATTCAAAAAAAAAGGCATTCTTTCGCTATCTCCGTATATTACTGTCATTCTGGAACACATCGTCAGGATATTTTGTTTTGGGGGAGGTTACGAGTTACATTTTATTCAACAGGTAAATTTATAAGGAGCATTATCAGTTCAGTTTGACTAATGGCCTATTATTAATATACAATAAGCCTAAATGTACTGCTTCAAGAAAATGAGTAATGCAGTGTAAAAACTAAAGTTTAACTTTAGACCCTTTCTTTTTTTTTCTTTATTGTAGCAAACATGAGCAATAACTATCAAATGCATAAAAAATGAAGATTAAAAGCGCAATTAGTAGTAGTCAATCCTCATGTTTTAACATTGTATTTACAACTATACGTACATCATTAATCATTCTCTTCCTCTCTGTGTATTTGATGATTATACACACCTATTCTTTATTATACTTTATAATAATGTGATCATGATTTATCTGCAAAGTATGCATCATCTGTAACGCATTGGAGTATCAAATGCATCTTACCTAATATTAAGAAAAGTAGTAAATAGGATTTTCTTCTCTCTCTCTTCATGTCTGTGTAGTCTGTTCTTTTTCTGCAAGGCCAAAATTGAGCTTATGTCAAGAACATTATATACTTTATGAAATGCTGCAGGTTGAAGTGCTGTGCTGTGTGTGTGTGTATGTGTGTGTGTGTGTCCCATACATGACAGAAAAAACTTTGGGGATAAAACAAACATTTTATATAAAATAATTCAAAAAAGCATTATCTGTATCTCTTTTCATAAGGTTCGTTTCTTCTCATCGCTCTTCTATCTGCCCATCTCGGTTGATATAGAGGTGGTTGATGGTAAGGTGGATAACGCCGTGGATAATATCGACCTGGTGCTGATGGTGACGACGACGATGGTGACGATGGTAGTGGCGGTGAGGGCGGTATATTAGAAGAAGGTGGAGATGGATATCTGTCATAATAAGGTCGTACTTGACGTATCTCGGTACGATGATAATGATGCACTTCTCTTTTCACAGGACGATGATCACTGCTATTTGCTCCTCTATTGTCATGAATGTCTTTTATATCCCATACACTCTTACGCGTTATTTGATTATAATAGTAAACTTCTCCTTTCTCTGTCTGACAAGATATCCATGTTTCCGGTAAACTGTCCTTTTCTTGTTTCTTTTTCTCTTCCTGTGGTTCTTCTTGTTTTGGCTCATGGCTCGATTGCACCATGGTTTCATTCACCCAATCATCTTCTCCATCTGAATCAAACGAAATCACGGCTTCTTTTATCACTGGCTTTTTCTCTTCTTCTATTGGTTTCTGTTCTTTTTCGATTGTTGCTTCTCTTTGCTCCTCTTTTGATTGCGATGGGCCCATGCTCTTTATCTCTTCTTCTTGTTTTCTTGATGTTGACCCATTCGACACTTTCTCTGGCCTTCTTCTATCATCATGTCTCGATGAGGAAGATCGGGAATGGTGGTAATAGCTGTGATAATCCCTTGGTCTTGCTGGGTAGTAGTAAGGAGAAGAAGGACGAGGAGGAGGTCTGGGATACCTATAAGGCGAAGGTGGTGGTGGTGGTGAAGGATGGTATCGTGGTCTGTAGTATCTGTCGTCATATCTCGGTCTTGGATGTGTAAAACGTGGTCTAGGAGGGTAATCGTAGCGACGATCCATTTTAATGGGCTGTTTAAGAGAATTAGTATAAAAGAAGAGTGAGTCTTAATTTTTTTTTTTTTTTTTTTGAGTGAGTACACAAATGGGTCTGCATAGACAAGAGTGCCACTTTATAAACACAGAAAGAAGAAAAAAAAAAAAGAACTCTTTAGGTATGTTGTCCTTATTATGGATAAAATACATATAAAGTAAAACATTCTTTGCTATTTGCTTGTTAAATACAATATTTTGTTACTTTGATTAATAATAGAAAAAGAGAAGCGATTCTATCTTGATCTCTTCTTCTGTGGTGTAGAACGGATAAAAAACACGGCCACAGATATTTAAGGTGTGTCTTTTTCTTGGCTGAATACATCAACGCAAGTCTCTGTAACAAATCTTTACCTTCATTTCTGACATTGTTGTTATGTCTGTCCTATGGGCACTGATTGACATAGTCAACTACACTATGAAGCATTACTACCTGTAAACAACGTAAAGGCTGCTTCATAGGATACGGCATTAGACACAAAGAAAAAAATAATACTACAATGGTCATTTGATCTATCATATTTAATACTGTATTCTGGCTTCATTTATTAAAAAAAAAAATAGTGTAAGAAATTTATATAAGAGAAAGGGAATTGGATTATGTTTACAATTAATGAAAGAAATATACAATTAATGTCGTGGTGATGTGGGTGTTAAGCTTTCCAAGTCATAATCTGACTGACTGCTCTGTAGTGGTTGATACACTCCTTTGCTACGGCCATCCACTTGAAACAGCTTTCTTATAAGCAATCTGAATTTGCTTATCTTTACCTTGTCTTGTTCATCCAAGGACGGTTTACGCCAGAACCATCTGAGCATGAGACTGCTAAAGACCACACTGGTTGAACTTGCAGCCATAGCCATGCCTGCCATCATAGGGTGAAGGTGAATACCAAAGGGTATGAGGATGCCCATGGCAAGGGGAATACCAATAATATTGTAAATGCAAGCCCATAGCAGATTTAGTTTGATCCGCTTGAAAATCGACTTGGACAAATCAAGAGCCACAATGACATCCGTCAGATCAGCTCTCATGAGGACAACATCAGCAGCTTCCATAGCAATATCCGTACCACTGCATAAGGCAATACCTAAGTTAGCAGCAACAAGCGCAGGCGAATCGTTAATACCATCACCCACCATAGCAACGACAGTCGGAACCAGCTTAGGTGCAAGCAAGAATCTAGACTGAGGTCGAAGTTGGCTCTGCATGCCCTTTACGATATCCGTCTTTCCGTTGGGTGAGATACCTGCGTGTACTTCAGTAATGCCTAGTTTTTTAGCAATACAGTGTGCTGTCGTAGCATTATCGCCCGTCACCATAGCCGTATCGACACCCATACGGTGTAAGGTCTGAATCACCATCTCAGCTTCAGGCTTGACCGTGTCCGATACAGAGACAAATCCAGAGGGCACACCGTTCACAGCAACCAGAATCGAGGTAAATCCTTTGGCCGCATCATGACGTACAGTCGACATTTGGTCATCTGTCATGGCAATACCGTGGAAGTCCTCCAACCATCGCTGATTACCTACCACCACATGTTGTCTCTTGTCCTGACCTTCAAGCGTAACATAACATTCAATACCAAATCCAGTCTCGCTCTTAAATTCAGATACAGATCCGAGACGATCCAAAGTAGCCTCAGGCTCCAAGCCACGCAGTTCCTTCACCTTGTTCACAATAGCACGACCCAAGAGATGTTCGCTTTGGGCTTCAGCCAGCGCTGCCAGTACCAACATATACTGTCTTGTCTTTTCGGCACCGTCCCAGGCTTGATAATTGACGACTTCGACCTTGCCTGTCGTTAGCGTACCTGTTTTATCAAAGACGACCTTGTTGACCCTTTGACCGGTTTCGAGCACAGCACCACCCTTAAAGATCACACCATGTTCCGCAGCAAGGCCCGTACCTACCATGACGGCTGTAGGCGTAGCAAGACCAAGTGCACAAGGGCAGGCGACGATGATGACACTGATGCACATCTTGAGACAGACAAAGAACCAGTTTCCATTTCCTTCCTTTTGTATCTCATGCTGTAATAGACTTGGCATACGGTTGACCCCCAGACAACCAACGAGCAGGGTCCAAGAGATGAGAGTGAGTGCGCCCAAGAGAAGGACACAGGGAACAAAGACACCTGCGACTCTATCGGTAAAGCCTTGGATGGGAGCCTTATTCACCTGAGCATCTTCGACAAGCTTGACGATCTGACTGAGGGCTGTATCAGAGCCTACGCGTGTAGCGCGCATCACAAAGGTACCTAAACCGTTCACCGTGCCTCCGATCACGGTCTGGCCAGAGGTCTTGTCTACAGGATCGACCTCACCCGTGATCATGCTCTCGTCCACCGAAGATTGACCAGAGACCAAGATACCGTCGGTAGGGACCTTGGCACCAGGAATGACCTTGAGGTAATCACCAATCTGGATCAGCTCAGACGGAATCTGTTTCTCGGCTACAATCGTCTCGTCCTTGTCATACTCCACCAAGAGGGCAGCGGAGGGTGTCAGCGACATGAGTTTAGACAGCGCAGTAGAGGATTGCCCCTTGGCCATGTTTTCCAAATAACGACCTAGGAGAATAAAGGAGATCAAGGTGGATGAGGTATCGAAAAAGACAGAGGGTCGGACTGGGGACGCGATCAGGACCGAACGTATGACGGAGAGTAAAGAAAACGAAAATGCAGACAAGGTTGAGATGGCCACCAAGACGTCCATCGTAGGTGCACCGTGGCGCATAGACTGGTAGGCAGACACAAGAAAGCGTTTACCAATAAAAAACTGAACAGGGATTGTCAAGACGAGTTGTATCAAGTCAAAAAGAAAGAGACCTGGAACGATGTACGTCGGCGTGTTGAGTAAGTCTCTGCCAAAGGCAAATTCAGGGAATATCATCGCAATCACAAACACAGGCAAGGTGAAAATAAGGCTCTGGAAAAACAGTCTCCGCCACTGCTGAATTTCCCGCACCTTGGATAAACTCTCGAGCTGTACCCTTCGGGTCCGGTCGGATACAAGTGCGTTGAAACCCAAGTCTTCGATTGCCCGAACAATTTCACGAGCACCTACAACCGTGGGATTATGGCGAATGATGCCTGTCTCGGTCATCAAGTTGACAGACACGCTTACCACGCCGTCTAGTTTTTTGACCTCGGTTTCAATCGCATGGACGCAGCTGGCACAGGTCATGCCATAGATTTGAAGTTGGAGCTGGCTCACATCACTAGAACTGTTTTCGTCATTGATGGGTGTGACGGTTTCTTCAGTAAGCACGGTAGCCTCAAATCCTAAATCCTCAATCGCAGCCACGAGCTGATTTGTGTGTAACTGGGTCGGGTCATAATGAACGGTTGCTGATTCAGCAAGGAGGGAGACTTGAACGCTCTGAACACCTGCTAATTGTCCAACCCCCCGTTCGATACTGTTGACGCAAGATGCACAGGTCATACCGCTTACATGCAGCTGAGTCATTTTTGCTGCTCCTATTGTTTCATTTTTAACTTGTTTATGTTGGTTGTCCTTGGAATATTCTGCAACATCAAACCCACAGTCTTCAATCGTTTCCATAATCTTTTGAGGTGTTGTCTCCAAAGGCCTGTAATCCACTGTTGCTTTATTTTCCTCCAAGCTGACCACGACTGAGTGTACTCCCTGAAGAGCCTTACAGGCCAAGGTGATCGATTTGACACAGGACATACAGGTCATGCCTTGTACAGTCAACGAGAGTGTTTTAGTCTCCATAGGCACATCGAAACCACAATCCTCAATTGTTTCAATGATTTTTTCCAGTGATAGTTGTGTAGAGTCATAACTGACGGTTGCGCAGGCATGTTCCAAGTCGACGTTGACTTTTTCTACAATAGGTGAGAGTGCATTTGTAATGGCTCTGACACATGACTGACAAGTCATGCCTTGAATAGGAAGTGTCGCATTAACCGACATTGCAGCGACTCTCCACAAAGCGTAAGAAATAATAATAAAAGAAAAAAAAAGTGGTAAAGAATTTTTCCTATTGATTAGGGTCAAACGGCTGATTTAATTTACCGACTTTCTCTCCTTTCCGTCTTACATAAATTTGTCCAGTACAAGAAATCTTATCAATCAACAATCAACAGTCTGCTTGTGAAAAAAAATCAATGTCAGATTGTTAGGAAATCAACGCGTACATCTTTTTGTATAAGATCTGTCAAGTAAGGAAAACTCTATTTTATTATAAAAACTACAAATGAGAAAATGCACGGGAGCAAGAATTGACCACATTCAGTTTGTAATAGAGAAATCATTTAATTATTACAGATTAGAAAAAAAAAAGAGATATTAAGGAGACGATCTTTTTCTTTTTCAATCAAGTAGTAAACAACTTAAACCTATCACGAAATCAAATCCTGGGGCCCCACATGATGGAGTTAATCTATCAACAGTCAGGTATCATCGTACAACATGAGTTACAATTGCTTAAGGAATATTAGTTGTCAGTTGTCAAAGGACACAATACCGTATTCCAGCATGACATTTCTTCCTTTTGGATAGTCCATATTCAATAAAAGTGTATTAAGCGTATAAAGCGCATAAAAAGAGGCATTGTTAAACAATTACAACATATTGCTACTATGTTTGGCATGTCTATTTTAAGTATCCTAGTAAACCATCTACTTTGTAGTCAATCCAATGATTGATATTATCATTTTTATAGATCAGACATTGCGTCTGCACCAGCATTCGTTACTCTCTCTCTCTTTTTAACAAATCTACCTGGCGCGTAATAATCAAACGTGCTGCCATAAACAATATTTCGTAAAGTGGAGTATACAAAACAATAAGGTTTTATTTAATAATACAAAGTTGATAAAATAGAGGTATTATTGTACATATACATTCGACATATAAACATTATTTCTTATATTTAGTGCGACAGAGACAGATACCATCTCTACCACATTCACCCAATAAGTAACCTGCATTGTCGCAATGGGATTTACAGACAGCGTTTGCATGAGGTTCCGCGAGCCTATGGCAAGCCTTGTTTGAAGGAGCAGCAGAGGTCACCATAATCATAGCGACGAAAAGGAGAGCGAGATAGAGAGTAAGACTCATAGTTTAAAATCAAGATTAATAGCAAAAGAAAGATATCAAAAAGAACAAGCTAAAGTAGGACATCCTTTTATACTAAATCCTTGGTGAGTAAATTCGTTTCCATTGGTTGTATATCCAAGTCATTCCTATTCCGTTTTATTGTGTGTCTGTTAATGCAAAGCTAAAACAGCACCTCATTAAACAATAAATGCCAAATAATGAGAGGCACATTTTTCATTATGTTAATTAATTCGACATATCGATTAATATAAAAAAGTACAATTATTGCTCACTTATATGCAATGTTGATTATCTTTCATCTAAATAACTCCTTCCTTCCCCTTTAATACTATGTCACATACGACCCTTTTAATGCATAGCTTTACACATGGACACAATGAAAGAAAAGTCATTATCACAATGCCCTTTATTTTTATTATTAGACAGGAGCACCATTCCTGGGGTTGGCAATAACCTAAAATGAACAATGAGTCGTTGTTCATTACTTTCTTTCTTCATAAACTTACCTCAACCCAGTAATTGTCAGGATCAGCAATAAACGCGATATTCTTCATTTTACCATCCGTCAATTTTTTGATAAACTTGACACCAAGAGAATCAAAGCGTTCACATGCCTTTTGGATATCATCCACAATAATAGCTATATGACCAAATCCTTTACCGTTATCTGTATTGCCATTACAGTAAGCAAAGTCAGTTTGGTTTTCAGTGCCCCAATTGCTACAACAAAAAAGTTCTTAGCTTAAAAAAGCTTATATGCGAATGATTATGCTTACTGTGTCAATTCAAGAACACCGGGAATACTAAAGGCCAACTTTTTTCTTTCTTCTTCGGATTCGGGAACAGAATCAACATAAGCTAAAAAGTATAATGAAAATTTGCTTTCTTCAAAATCGAGTTTGGTTATAAGTCTTTATGTGGTATGAGTTTACATGTTTTTTTTGAATAGGCGGCGCGTATATTTTTAACTTACTTCATGCCAACGACTTCAGTATAGAATTTAACAGAAGCCTCGGGATCCTTGACACGGATCATGGTGTGGTTAAAGACGTACTTGCTAGGATCAGTCATGATATATGATAAAGTTACGAAAAACAGAAAAAAGAAAACATAAAGTGCTGTATTTGTAATCTTTATAGACTTACAAACACAAGTCACTTTTTTAATAGCAACAGAAAAAAAAAAAAAGCTTATTTCGTCATAACGTCACATTGATGTATAGTTCAAATGGGTCTAGACGCATTGACATAACCAATGCTTTGAGCCTGGCAATGTCGAAACTGTTTGCTATGGGAGCAGGACGCGTAATATGTAAACTCTCTCTCTTTATTTCACACTTTATATCCAGCACAATGATCACGCGAGATCAAGATGTTCTATCACGGTAAAATATTTATTCTACATGTCGGGATAGACCTATTTTGGGGCATACTCAGGTAATAGGCATGTCGTTCATAGAGTGAAAGGAGACGTGTATATCCCATAAGTAAGTATCACTGATGATTTATAAACAATTGTTCATCTAGCTGGTTTCATATAAATGTCCAAAGCTATCATAATGATGACAAATGGGTACATTTCTTTAAAAAGGGAAGAGATAGACGGAGTTGAAAGACCCTCCCATGTAGATACAGTGTACAACCGTCAGAGCATCATTGCTACGCCTCCCCAAACTTTCATCAACAATTCACTTAATAATATTCGCTCATTTTTTAAAGCGACCGTCTATAGAGCATATATATTTGAATTTATTCTTTGTACACTTGTGTGTAATGCTTGTATTATTTACATTGCATATGCGATTGTTGCTGTTCATTTTAGTGTTCAATGTTACTCTCAATATCTTTAAGATATACATGCAGCGTCTATAGTCATATAAGCACCCTTTTATTTTATGTCTATCCTGATAAACATACCTGTATTCGTTTTGCCTCATTCACATCACTTCCTCCCAGCTCAATTACTCGATCGACAAAGGATAAAAGTAGTTCGGACATATAGACCACGGTAGCTTGTGGATTGGCCAAGACGTTACCTGTCACCTTTTTCTGGTTTTTCTCGGTTTGGATCACGCCAATGGCCCTGACGGTAAACTCTACGAGAACCGAGGTCAAATTATCCAATGAAATATGGGTATCGCTTACAGAGGGAGAAGAGCCATTGGGCACGATCTCCAGTTCGGCAAGAGTCAGTAAACATGACATGGCTCGTATCATGTTGTCTAGCAGTTGCATATATCGGATATCCACGCGCTTAGTGGGTACAGCATTAGATATTCTCATCTTCTTTCCATCTTCCTCTTCGGTTGCTTTATCATGAAGATGATCAAGGTTCTCACAGATCCATTGACTGTAGATTGTAACCATCGCTCGACAGCTGTAAACAATACTAGGGCTACTATATCCTATGCAAGCTGATGCTTCCGAAACGAACTCTAAGCCGCACAAGATAGATGTCATCAGTTCTTCCCCTACTGGCAAATCATACAGCTCTGACATGTCACTCACACTGTCTCCCACTTTTTTGCATTCAAGCTCTAGAGCCTCCATCAGACCGACACAAAGGTTGAACAACCATTGCTTGGTCGCTGCCAGTAAATGATCATCCACTGGAAGGCCCATTGCTTTCCATTCTAAGCCGTTCTGCGATAATGCGTCACCATACAAGGCCAATTTGCTGTCTAATGTGGTCTGAAGTCTTTTGATGTCCTGCAGTAGGTCAGATGTTCTTGGTATAGTCGTATGAATCGAGTTGTTCATGTCTTCCATGGCCTTTTTTTTTTTTTTTGAAAGAGGAAATTTTTTAATCATCACTCTATGTTGTTCACCTGTAATACTTACCTGCACAAATCTTGCTAGGCTATTAATACGGTATTCATAAATAGACCATTCTGGAAATATTTGCTTATAAAAAAAAATGAGCCTCTTGTTCAAAAAGACAACATCAAAACTTACTGTAAAATTTAGCGTATGATCACCACCAAGCTCATCAGCCAATTTGAGCACTTTACATAAATGTTCTCTCAACTGATCAAAGGTTTGATTGGGTGTCTGCAGTAGATCCAGTTCCTTTCGAAGTTCCTTTTGTTTCTCATCTGATAATTCCTTGTATTTGAAGAGCGGAATACGATGCATCTCTGCTTGCTGTCTCATCCACTGTTCAAGTGAGTACGAGCACGGATTGGACGTTCCACTAAGAGATATTCGACGAAGGGTGGGCATGGGGTTATCTTCCTGTTGACGCTGTGCTCGTTTGGTGAACTGAAATCCCATGTCTTCATCGTCATCATCAACAGATAAACTGCGGGCGATGTCGTTGGCTAAACTACTGGAGAGCTTTTGCATTTTTCGTTCATGAACTACTTCTGATACACTGCGTTTGCGTTTAAAGCTAGGTGTGGTCGGTGTTGATGATACTTGTTGGAACAGGTCAGGATAAAGTGGATATACATATATATATCTTTTATACATACCTAAGCTTCCTTGATCGCCTTTTAGCAAATTAAGTCTTTGCGCATCTGCTTTTGGAGTTGAATCACTAAATAGATTGTCCTCTAATTATGAACAAAGAAAAGTGGTGCGCGTAGATTAATAAATAGATACAACAGATTATGAATCAATCTCTACCAAGTAAGGTGAGGATCATATTTATGCAGTTTTTCCAAATGTCTTGCTCTGATCTCAAATCATCAAACATGACTTTTGTTGTATGCAAAGAACGCAAAAAAAAGAAAGGACGATTTCTCTCTGTTTCTTTACTCAATAAATTCATTCCCAGATCTTGGGATTTCGCAAGATTGCCAGGCAGAGCAGATATACAGAATAGATGAGATGATAGGAAAGAGGATATAAGTCAATGTATTACATGGTGATAATAAACTTGGTTATGTAAAAAGCATGGTTGAGCACATTATGCAAGATATGGATGCCAAGCTTACTGTAAATAAAAAAAAAGACGGCAAGTAGATCACATCTTATGAACAATCCAAAGCTTATGATGATTGTTGTCAATTAAACAAGGATGGTTTGTCACAAGTTTTACTCAAGGAAAAATATAAATTTCCTTGGGGTATTGTGCTTATGTAAAGGGTTCCTGGGAACTCAAGAAAAAGGTCGGTCACCTCATTCTAACTCTTCTCTCCCTGTGTGGGGCCATTACTTGATCAGGCAGTTCTCGAACATCATCAAAGGATCATTATAAAATGACTTTAACATGTGAATCCCAAAGATAACTTATAATAGAAGCATACATTTTAAAAAATCTGGATTTAGTATTGTTAGAATAAACAAGTTCCTGGATGATCCAACTTTTTAATATAGCACTGTGCGTCACAGTCAAAGCGATCTTTGCATGTGCCCCTTTTCTTTTTTTTTTTTTTTTTACTTCCTTTCCCCTCCGCCGCGCGCGCGCCTCACGGCTTCTGTTTACGGCTGTCATCAGATATCGAACCACATTTAGAAAAAAAAGTATAAATACAGGGTCCTTTTTTCTTTTCTTTTCTTTTTTTATTATTTATTATTTTAAACAAATGACAATTTGCAACATAAAAGATATCACGGTTAAACCATTCGAACGTGGACAAGATAAACATATTTGGTTTCCTGTTCAGATTGAATTGGATAATCACGACAAAATTGAAGTTTACAGAAGATATTCAGATTTTATTAGATTCTATGAACAATTACAGACTATTGACAAAGGCACATATTTACCATTAAAGATGGATAATAAAAAGATGTACTGGATCAAGAGACACCAAAAATATTCACAACGACAAGCGGAACTGGAGAAGTTTTGTAAATATCTTTTGGCACTTCCTTCCGCCATTACCAGCTCCGATTTCTATATTTCCTTTTTCAACCTGGATGTTTCCAGTGACACCAGCAGCAGTGGTAGCAGTAGTCATGGTGATAGTTGCACAGATCTCCTAAGGAACGATACCATACTAGAAGAAGAGGAAGATGTCATTCGAATCAAGTTGGTATATGATGCACATAACATTATCATTCTTCGAGTACCTCGATCAATCACATTTAACGAACTAAAATCAAAGATTATTCAAAAGTTTGCTCTACTCAACATCAATCTATCACCTCATCTCATTTTATTAACCCTGTCAAACCATCAACAACAAACATCGTCAGCTAGTTCCATAACAGAAAATGTGGTTGTGATTTCAAGCGAAACCCACTTTGTTGATGCAATGCAAACGCAATGGCTTCATGATAAAAAAATAACTGCTCGCATACTCTCCATCTAAATTGTATTTACATCTTACATATTTTGTATTATATAACAGAACCTCCTTTGCACATATAGAATGATCACTCATAGTAGTAGTAGTAATAATAATAATAAGAATAAATCTTCCGTATCTATCCGTGACCCCATCACAAAGCCATTTTAACCATGTGGCATTTTTATGTCATTCTTTGTGTTCAGTCTGGTGCAGGGCCATGTGTCGCTTCTAGAAATTCATGTAGACAGACCAACGGAACCTGTATCATATCAAAGTTTGTAGTATGGGACGAGATCTATTATGATCCTCGAAATGTTTCTTTTGGGCCTAATGTTGCTTCATATTATACTCTTGATCAGTTTCCTTCTTTAGTCATAAAAAAAAGAGAGAGAAATAGTTGGCTTGTTCTAATGTAAGAAGACGTAACCATCTCCAACAAATAGCATGTTACACCATTACTCTAAAACTATGAAACCATGTGGCAAGAAACTGTCAGTCTCTCTCATGAAAAACGTTTTGCCATTCGGCAGGCTAAGCCTTATTTTCAGTGATCCCTGACCCAGATACACATTTACGCTTTCTTTTAAGGCAGTTATAGTTAAATCCAGTATATTCAACCAAAATGATTATAACGTAGAGTATATCGCTTGGTACCTCACATATGTGTAGTACTATGGCTATAAGGATTTAAAGGAAATTAAGCAGGTGCATAGAGTGGCGCTTTTTTGGAAGTATGCCCGCGACCGTGCATCTTTCTTCTTTTCTTTCTGTGACAGAAATCATTATGGCGTCAAATTGTGTACAGGCTGGGGTAAGTAACAAATAAGTCGAGACAATTGTGCAATAAAACTTTTTGCTGCCGACCGATAGGAACCATGTACAACCAGTGCACAATTGTAATTACGGGTACAGGTTTCAATGAACTGCGCATGTACCCAATGTACTTTTGTAATTGAAGTAATAACTACTTGTACCATCCATAGTCTCGAAGCTCCTTGCCACTTTTTGCTTTCAATCAGTGAATTAATTACAATGTAATATGTTATAAAAAGAAACGTTTATATATATTTTTTTGACGTCGACCATCTCTTCAATAACACTTTGCTTTGATCGATGCACTGACCCTTTACGACAATTAAGCTTTTTCGCCACAGAATAATCTTTTAAATAGTATCGCGTAAAAACCTCGATTTCCAATCAATGTACAATCACTAATTCTTTGATGTTCTTGTTCAGTCTGGAAATTGTTAACATTAATTATCTTAAATTGATGTTTTCAGCCACTTACTTCAACATTCTTCTCACGTCATTGGGTTCGGTTGAAAGATCAGCGTAACGCACAAATGACTATGTTGCTGAAACAAAGACTAAGGATGTGATCGTAGGCTTTCTAGTAGCGCTTTATTCTCAGTAATATAATAAAATAAAAACTTTTGCTATTTCCTTACATCTTTCTAACAGTGTACTCGTCTGTATCTTGAGAATTGGTGCTAGGTATGGGTATTTAAAAGATTCTTCTGTACCATGGGAGGGGAACCATCACACCCTAATCTTCGTTTCGGCAATATAGCCGTTTTTACTCTACCAGCAGCTACACAATTCCATTTTTAACACGTGAAATGCTATGATAGCTATCAAGCAAAGACGTAGAAGCAAAACTGAAATGTAAGCTGAACAGCTTTAGGCGAACATTACATGCACCAGAAAATAGGTTAATACTACGAGCGCTTCTTCTAGGCACTACATATAGAGACACTATATAATTTCATACTGCCAAAGTCTCTACCGAACTTAAGTATGTCCAGTTCACGCTCTCTAGTATAAAATACGATGCCATCATAATTACAGGTGATTGATCTTTTGTTGATCAAACTTGCAACACAAAGTTAGTATGTTTCTTTCTTCTTCCTGAAAAGAAACACAAATTAAGATGGTGAAAAGTTTTGTTAGACTACATTATAGGTAATGGGTAAAGGCAGCGCACGTAGTATTAGTTTGACTTCTGGTGTATTTTCTGGTGCATTTAGCCTTTCCCTTACTTTAAACCTTTTCTTTTTTTTTTTTTTTTTCTCTTCGTAGCATTACGATTACTATTAGCAAAAATCAAGCACTCTGTATCTATTTTCAACTGCTAAAGCTTAGAGAAGTTTCTGTTACTTAGCGATTAGCAGAACGCTTGCTACCTAAATGATCCTGCTGTTCCTGTCCTTGCTTTTAAAGCACGAGTTTATGGCAACTCTTTTCTAGTTAATGAACACGTAACCGAAAAAGATAAAAGCGATGAACTTTTACCAAAACTTGGTATACATCTGAGCTTTCTATCTGTAACTTTGCTAATGTACTATTTAAATTAATTAAAAACGAAGATTCAAGTAGTTAAGTTTATTAACGAAGTATACTCAAATGAGCCTATTAGAGGCGATCTTTATACGTTAAGTATTGTCACTTTATCAAATACCTTCAGTAAAATTTTGCTGCATTCAACGCTATTCAGCAACAAAACATTCAATAGCTTAACCTCTTTCTGCGGAAAAATAATATCGCTTTTTTGACAAGAAAAAGTGATTTGCTCAGTAAAAGAAGCAAGGATGAAAACGGATCGTATTCGCGATGTTGGAGTCTGTATGTCTTGATTAAAAATTATGAAGGTAAAATAAAACATTATGTTCCAATATCCTTGTTAAATGTCAATCTATAGCAAATATTATTCATAATATCCTCGAATATAACTACAATTATAGAGAATTTATGCTAACTCAGAAAGAACAAGGCATAACGATCGTCGGCTATGCACGAAAGTCACCTGCAGACATAGATGAAGAATGCAGAACAAGGTTGTTAAAAAAAAGTGGTTGAAAAGCTAAAAACTCGATCCTTAGTTGACAAGGTGTTTGTGTCAAAAAATTCAAAAGCAAGCCAGTCAATGTATGAACGCGACAAACATCAGAAGCATGGTCTGGAGAGAGCAGACAGTTCCACAGTAGGTAATGCATAGTGCATGATAAAGACAACTTGAAGTAATATGTTTTGCTTTCTAGAACTAATAAAGTATCTCACCAGCGCAAAAGAGCCAGTGATATCGGTGGCTCTAGACTATGCTGGTTTATCAACCAATATTAGAGATATTGAAGAATTTATAATGCAGGTAGTAAACATATATATTAATATTACGACATATCTAACTAAGTCACATACCATTAGCAGATACAGCAGCATCACAAAAATCAAACAGTTGCCGGAGTGGAAGGAGAAGATGAGGTGGTAATGGCTCTTTCGTGCCACGCTTTATTTTCAGATGAATATATAATAAAAAAAATTTTGAGTTCCTATTTCTTCAGATCTTTGAGCGCTGCTAATTCTATCTATCTTGGGAGAAAAACAACAGTGAAGAAAGCCAGTTGAAAGTTAATGGGCGGGTGACCATCTCATCTTCTCCTTCCACTTCGACAACTGTTTGATTGGCAGTGGAACGACTGTATGACCTATGCGTTATTAATTCATTGAACAACTCTAGCTTCATGATAGTTCATATTCCTCGCCATTATAATTAAACCTAACTCTCCATCACATTTTTTCAGCTTTTTACTCTCAACTGAATGTACAATTCTGGTAATTTTCATACACACGCTATCGTCCGTAGCATTGGTCAGAAATAAATGCAGAAAAGCGTTATTCAAAGTTGTTCAAATTTAAAGAGCGATCAAAGTCACAATAAATAACAAAAAATTTCCAGGTTCCATACTTCTGTCAGATTCAGCCATGATGCGATTTGCTAAACCATTTGTCAGACATGCTTCGACAGCATCAGCAGCACCTAAACCAGAAAAGTTCTTACAAACTATTGTCTTGAGTAATGGAGCAACTTATACCGTCCGTACGACTTCACCCACTCGTTCTCAAATTCGTCTCACAAAAGATACTCGTAACCATCCACTTTGGAATCCTGCCATGTTGAAGGAAGGCGTGACGGATGAAAGTGAACAGTTGACCAAATTCCAGCAACGTTTCGGTGATTTAGATCTGTCAGATATCTCTTGGATCGAAAGTGACGAGGTTGTTTCAACTACCTTGAAGAAGGCTGCTGCTAGTGGTGGCTACAACAAAAAGGCTGCTGCTGCTGCTGCTAAAGGAAAGAAGAAATAAACATGTAAATAAATTGTATACTTCCCCCCCTCAAGTTTAAGAAAAGAGAGAAATAGATCATCATTTGTTATTATCTTGTTTAGAAATGGAATAAAATGACGATACATAGTTTAAATTATCTATAAAGAATATCTTGCCTTATCTAATAAAACCAAGGTAGGAGTCGTTTTAAGAAAGCTTGTTTATGTTGTCAGTTGTATAAAAAGTGCAATTGATGAATGGCTTATTCTTGTAAGCACCTGGGATTTTTGTCACTTTATTGGCAAGAAATGAAAAATTACAAGTCAGAAGACGATCAAGTTTCAAGCAGAAAAAAAACTGGATGTGTTCAGTTGGGAGAGAATTTACATCGTCTCCTTTGTTCTTCATTATAACAATAGTACGGCTACTACTGCCGCTACTGCTTTTCCGATTTTCTCTCTCATTTGAGCGGTTGAAAAGAGAATATCCGAATGAATGGCAGCTAGAAGTTAAAGTAATAATTATATTATCATAGGACAAGCAGAATTTAACACCTACATCCTATACTACTTTTGGCAGATCAAAGCGTAGCATGCGTTTTTTCTTTTTTTTTTTTTTTTTTCATGAATGTTTGACCCTTTAGCCAATGATTTAAAGAACATGCTTTGTTTCTACTCTAAGCATGTGAATAACATAACTCAGCTTGTTGCCATGGTTACCAACTTAAAAATTTTCTGGTAACCCTCAACTTTTATTGGTGTAGCGCGTCGCGACTGAATCAGACGCAGGACCGCATTTATCTGAAATTATTTGTGACCGAAATGTTGTTGGATTCAGGGAGAATAAACTTTGGTTATGCTGCGAAAGAGCATTTCTTTTTTCTTTTTATATTTATATTTATTTATTTGGAATGCTCAAGAGATCACGGCCCATACCAAGCTTAACGAGATCTTCCAGTCGCTTAAAGAAGGTTGAGAAGAAACCGATCGAAGTGTTTGATTCAAGTGAAGATACTGACGAAGAAGAAGAAGACAACGAAGACGATCAGCTCATCACAGATAACGATGGCAACAGTTCTGTAGATTCAGACTTTGTAGACGAAGAACAAGAGGATCAGCACGTTAATAAAAAACCTAGGTCCTTTTTAAACGATCTATCCAACCGTAAGGCACTAACAAAGCTTCCTCCTCCACCTTCAAGAATATCAAAAAACTATGATGCAAAAGCTGTTATTCTCAAAAAGTTTAAAGTACCAACCATTCAAAGCAGCAATGGTCAGCCAATGCAAGTAAATAGTGAATTTGGAGCAAAGAAGTCGCTTGGTATGCGCAAGAGAGCAGGACATTTGTTGAGAGCACTCTATGACCACACAGCTGAAGATGCTGTGGTCCTATGGGATCCAGATAAGGACCATGTGGAAGATGATTTAAAGATTACGACGGATAAGCCAAAGAAGAAAGAAAAGACATTAGCCGACATTCTTGGAATCAAAAAGGAAGAAAAGAAAATAGGTCATGTCGTCGTTGATCCGACACTTGGTAGAGTCTTGAGGCCACATCAGGTTGAAGGTGTCAAGTTTCTTTATCGATGTACTACAGGCAAAGTTTATCCTGAAGCATTTGGTTGTATCATGGCTGATGAAATGGGGTTAGGAAAAACTGTAAGTTACATATGCTACTGATAGACAAGCGACATGATGTATTAACGATTATTGATTTGTAGCTTCAATGTATCGCCCTTGTATGGACTTTGCTTCAGCAATCAGAAGAAATTGGTAAACCTACGATTAATAAAGCAATCATCACCTGTCCTTCAAGTTTAGTAAAGAATTGGGCAAACGAATTTGGTAAGTTTTAGACAGACACACGATTACTATATGTTTAATATTTACGGTAAATAGTCAAATGGCTTGGTGAGACTCGTGTGAGACCACTTGTTGTCGATAGTGGAGGAAGTAAAGAAAAGATTGCAGCGGTTAAAAGATGGGGCGCAGCCCAAGGTCAAATCATCAATCCAATCCTCATCATTTCTTATGAAAGTTTAAGAACCTACAGCAAATACTTGAGAAAGTCGCCTATTGGTATACTCCTGTGTGATGAAGGTCATCGACTCAAAAATGGTGAATCCTTGTTGTTTCAAGAACTAAATAGCCTACCAGTCTCAAGAAGAGTGATCTTATCTGGTACACCTATCCAAAATGACCTGAGTGAATACTATTCCTTGCTTGACTTTGCCAATCCTGGTCTGCTTGGTACACCTAATGAGTTCAGAAGAAACTATGAAAACCCTATCTTGCGTGGTCGAGATGCGGACGCATCAGAAAAGGAAAGACAGCTCAGTGACGAAAAAGTAGCCGAATTCTGGAAAATTGTGTCCAAGTTTACGATTCGTAGAACAAACGATATCTTGACAAAGTATCTACCAACAAAGTACGAACATGTTGTCTTTTGTAAGCTGGCACCTTTACAAGAAGCACTATACAATGTGTTCTTGACCTCACCTGAAATAAAAACACTGCTACGTGGACAAGGAAGTCAACCATTGAAAGCGATTACACTCTTAAAGAAGCTCTGTAATCACCCTAATTTATTGAACTTGCCTGACGACTTGTATGGTAGCGAATCTGTACTTCCTCCAAACTATCACAACTCAAAGCGAATTGATCCTTCCTTCTCTGGTAAATTTACTGTATTGGCTCGCATGCTTGCAAAAATCAAAAAGGAGACAAAAGACAAGATTGTGCTTATCAGCAACTATACACAAACACTGGATATATTTGAAGCATACTGTAAGGAGCAACAATACGGTGTACTTCGTCTAGACGGCTCCATGACGATTCCTAAAAGACAAAAGCTGGTGGACCGTTTCAATAATCCTGAAGGCGAAGAGTTTGTATTCTTGCTGAGCAGTAAAGCGGGTGGTTGTGGATTGAACTTGATTGGTGCCAATCGACTCGTCCTGTTCGATCCAGACTGGAACCCTGCAGCTGACCAGCAAGCTCTAGCCCGTGTGTGGAGAGATGGGCAAAAGAAGGACTGTTATATTTACCGATTTATTGCTGCAGGCACCATTGAAGAAAAGATATTCCAGCGACAATCGCACAAACAGTCATTGTCAAACTGTGTTGTAGATGAAGCAGATATGGAGCGTCACTTCTCACTTGCAGATATGCGTCAATTGTTCCAATTGAATTCAACGAGCGAGTGTGAAACGCACGATACGTTTAAATGCAAACGATGTATTCAAGGTAAACAGCACACAACTGCAGAAGCCATGAACTATGGTGATACAAGTACGTGGAATCATTACGATAAAGACCTCTTGCGTTTACCCGATCCTATTTTAATAGCAGAGGCTCATAAAAACATTGTATCTTATGTCTTTCAATATATCTCACACATGAAATAAACAAATAGAACTCTCGCATATTGTACATATTATCACAACAATAAGTTTATTTTTTAGTTTATTCATTTGTTTATAATATTTCTCCTCTTGGAAGAGTACATCATATACGCTGGATTTTCAAATTAAGTCATTGCATGCCGTACGCATTTGTATTGCAAATTTGACTCTCTCTTTGATCACTTTAGGATCAGACGCAGGGACGTACAATCGCCAGAAGTTTCACATACGAAAAATAATGCTTGGAGGGTCTTTAAGCTAACAAATGATGGAAGCTCTTCCAAAGATCCTGGAAGCATCATGTGAGCAACTTTTATCATTTCATATAGCTTGTGGTGGGAAAGTGAGATAAGATAGAAAGTAATGCTAAAGCCTATAAATAGGATAATAATTAGTATTTTTATCAACTATAAAAGAAACATAGATATGCCATGTATTTAAAAGCAAGAGCATACTCAAGCTTGTTGTGATCAATGGAATCTTTGACGAGGATTTCCAGTCTTAAAAGATCATGACAACTATCTTACCATGTTGTTTAATGTAGAACACGAATATATAAAGAAGAAGGAGATAAAAAAGAATTTATTATTCTAATTTTATGTTGTCAATTTGATCAACTAAGAACCCAGGTCGTTCAAGTGTATTTACATTAACGGATATCCCACCGGGCAGCCTTACATGTAGTGCCTAGAAGAAGAAACGTCTGTAGTATTAACCTATTTTCAGGTGCATGTAGTGTTGGTCTTTTCTTTTTATAAAGAGCTTTACAAAAGCTAAATGTTTATTAGGTATCACAAACAAGTTTTAGAACTGTCTTTGGGTTTTAAACATATACTTCAGTTTAGATCAAGTTGCAAACTTGATTTAGTTGAAACTGGAGTGGAAATACGGTAATGCGAGACAAGACACTGACAACATTTATAGTTTATAGCCCAACCTGTGATTTATAAAAAAAAGCGCCTTCGAAAACGTTTTGATTTTAAACTAACAGTTATGGATAATGCTATTGTAGTATGGAAGTCAACATGAATCTTTCGCACTCTGATGATTTTGAGACACTGTAAGTCACATAATAAATAAGTAAAAGAATGTTGCGTTTTAATAAAGTTACTTTATAATAATATAGCGGCAACATGAATCTGTGAGCAACCGGAACGCAGTTGAACATTTTATCAAATTAGTAGAGAAAGATCCTTCAAAGGACAAAAGAACAGCAATAGCTAAGATTTTGGCTTGACCACCTTGAGATGCTAGTGACAAGTGATCTCAGAGGGAAGGATGATTCACTCTTTCCCTGGGTTCAGTCTGAAAAATCTGCCTACAGATATGGCTTTACCCAATGCCCAAAACAACTATCGTTAACCAAATTTCCATCCTTTTCGTTTCATGTAATAAACTACTTTGTTAATTCATTAAGCACCGTTCCTTAAATCGATATGCATTCCACTGCCGCTGTTTCCTTGAGAAAAAAGATGTTCAAACTATGCTTACAAAGAAAGACATGCCGGCCGTAAAAAGTCAATTATATAACATTCTAGTTTAATCGTAAAAAGTCATTTTATACAAAGGTCCTTTTTGCACAATGTTGATAATTAAGTGTTAATGAACCAATAAGTGCTCAAGAGCTACTATTGATTTGTCTAATTCGATATTCACCATTGAATTCTAAATGCACCTCAGTGTGATGGTATTTGATAATACTTGGTTGATGAGTCACACTGATGATGGTTATGCCTGATTCTAATAGTAGACGATAAAGATGCTCTGCAGATTCTTCATCCATTGCATTTGTAGCTTCATCAAGTACTAAAAAAAGTTTAGATCTTAATGTATATGTGTGCTGCAGGATGTACTTGCCTACAAAACGAGGATTTGCGTAAAAAATACGAGCAAAGACAAGCTTTTGCTGCTCACCAGGAGACAGCATCTTGTACCATTCTTGTCCATAGCATGTATCAAAAGATTCCAGCATACCAGCAAGGTGGCTCAGGCGTACCTTTTCTAGATTACTCAAAATCGATTCATCTGTGCCTATAAGAGAAAACAGTTGAATTCGAATCGTTCCTTTTTATATATTGGAGGCACTTACATTGGCCAGAAGGGTATCCAAGTTGGTTTCTTAAGGATCCTTCGACCAGATACGGTATCTGTGGCAAGAACAAGATATCTTTGGGTACACGTACTGTTCCTTCAGAGGATGGCCATAAACCTGCCAGGGCACGCAATATAGACGTTTTTCCTCTTCCTAAAGAAACAGTTAATGTAAGACATTGATCCCTTCTCCCTTTCTTTTCTTACCATTAGATCCTGTAAAGACTACATGGTGTCCAGGTTGAATGGTTATACAAAGGTCACGTACAATAAGCTTTCTTGAGGGGGAATACAACGTAACGTGATCAAATTCGATATGATCACACCCATTATCAAAATGATGAGGATGATCTATCTCTACATTTTCCAGATTCTCGATCACTTGGTCCAAGGCTTCTAGTAGCTCGCCTATACGGGCAGTATAACCAGCAAGATCTGAAAGTTTGGTGGATTGTTGAAGGATTGTTGAGAATAAAAAGATGAGATACATTATAACAAATGAACTCTTTTTTTTTTAAAAAAAAAAAAAAAAAAAGGATTAAATATATGATTTGTATTTTGTCCATTTTTTCTCAGTACCTGACTGATAATCGAACTGAGATCACCAGCATCTTTGCCATCCAAAGCTCCAGTAAATATTGGAATGGCTACAAGAAAGTAACTGATGATGGATCCCAAATAAGAGAAGCTTTCATTGGCCACTAAAATGAAGCAATCAACATTATTTACACAGTGCGGCAAATTGTACTCCTTACTGTTCAAAAATAAGCCATTGTTCACAATGGAGCGTTGATAGGTTAATAAAGTGTTCAAGCTTTGATCTGCTCTATCATGTTCTTCTTTTTCCCCATCACAAAAGGCAATTGATTCAACATATTGTCGTAGTCTGACATGTAGGTATCTTTTCTTGAGAGAGTTAGAGACACATCATCATCATCCAATAGATCTTACCGAAAGTTTCCTTCTTGAAGTTCCTTGTAGAATACAGCGTTTACTATGGGTTGTATCAACCTACGACTTAGTAATGATCCAATCAAGAAATAGACAAGCACAGCCAGTGGACCAAAGAAGCCAGTGACCGCCCAACATTTGTATGTATAATAGATGGCCATAAGAGGTGCAATGATCAGATTTGTGATAATCTGTTGCAAGGTCTCTGCGAATTTATCCACATCTTGAGTGATACGTTGATCACTTGAGAGGAGGATGATATTAGTTACCCAGCATATGTATAATAAATACAGAGGAAACTACTTTACGGATTGTCTACATATTGATTCATCAATAGATTATAAACCATCTTTGATTTGATATATCGATGTTGCAAGTGCACAGTGAGCAATCGCCTGGTCTTGATAGCAAAAAGTTCTCCCATGAATTTCAATAAGCTTTTACACTGGTAGAAAAGAGTCATAAGATCCTTGTGTCTATTGATAAAGTACAAAACTTACAGTAGCGACTGCAAAGACGAGAAGTAGACAGGTAGGGATATATCGAATAAATCCAGCAAGATCTCGGGAGGTAAGGATTGTGTAGAAATTGCTTGGTATCAAACCAACAAAATAAACGATTATTTCATATCCAATACCAATACACACAAAGGTAATGTATAACCAAAACACACTGTGTTTACGGGCTTCCTTTGTCGTAGACCATGCTCTAAGACGTTTTGTATTGAATAGGATTCGTAAAAGACGATGAAATCTTTTAAGAAACAACCTATCAAATCTATATTGGCTTGAAGATAATGGCCTAGTTATTGGTTTGGAAGGGTTTTCCAACAGAGGTTCATCTAATGAGTCACTTATTCTCATTCCAATAAAAAAAAAGAAAGAAAGAAAGAAATTTAGGTGCTACCGTCTTTTTTTTTTTTTTTTTCTTCTTATTTTCTTGTAATGTCTACTACAACTTGCTTTGATCTCTTTGGAGAATTGTCAAAAGAAGAACAACTCGACTTGGAAAAGCGTAAACAAGAGAACCAACTCAAGTTAAATGACAAGATCGCAGCATTACCAACAGATCGATCAAAACGATCGATGACAGAGAACAGATTGGTCTTTCTGCAAAACAGAAAAGATTTCAAGATACCAGGGATAGAATACCAGCTGCTGACCCAAGACGAGTGCGAGAGCGTGTTGAATGTTTGCAGAAAGCAAAACGACTGGACAACAGATCGTCACTCGGCATTTGCAACGATAGATATTCCTATTCGCACAGATCCAAACCTATCCTATCTGGAACCACTGGTGAAAGAACGGTTGTTTGACAAGTTAGGTGCACGCTATGGATTTAACAAGGCTGATTTGGACTTTAGAGATATCTTTTTAGTAAAGTATTCAATGGACACACAGAGAGGTCTTCAGCTGCATACAGATGGGTGTCTGTTTTCACTTACTTTATTGATAAGTGATCCAAGTGACTTTGAAGGTGGAGGAACATACTATGAAAGTGTTGATAAAGTGATACATCTCAATCAAGGCGATTGTGCTCATCATGAGGGATCAGTGAAGCATAGTGGAGTGAGTATAACTAAAGGAGAGCGATATATTCTTGTTGGATTTATAGACACTGTTGATACAATTAAGAAAGATAAAATAGCAAAGACGATTAGAAATTAACACAAGAGTCCCTTATTTATTGTCGTGATGATTCATCCAAAGACAATCTTATAAAGGCAGCTGCCTCTGATCTCTTTATGTATCTTAATGCCCAACTTACATTTTCGTCTCTTCTTTTTTTGCTATTTAAAAGTGATAGAAATGTTTTACTGTAGCTCGTTAAATCCACTTCTTTGACTGTATAAAGTTAATATATAGAATATATACATATATATATATATATTTATATAGAATAATAAACTTACACGTTGTATTAAAGGTTATGCCAATGAGATAATAAGTCAGATAAATGACTCCTGGGCTCATTTTACCATTGTCGTGTATTCTTGCCTCTTCTTGTGTAAAACCATTCTGTAAATCAATCTTTTCTTCAGTGGTTCTATAATTCACTACGGTATCGTAAGACTTCATCAAGGGTTGAACTTCTTTTATAGCTGGATCTTCTTCAATCATTTCAATGTATTTTGGTATATGAATAGCCATTCTGCCCGTCCTAGTGAGATTTAAGTACGCTTGATTCTCCCACTTTCTTTTTATAAACTTACCATGCTTCATGGTTATTTATTGTCGATGTACTCGTTATAATGTTTATAAAATGCTTGTATCTTGCTAGATAATTGATAGGATTAAAGAGTTTATGAATAAGAGCATGCGCTGATACTCTTTCCATGGTCAATAAAGCATATCCTAAGCATAATAGACTCCTTGTCAATAAAAAGAAAAAAAGAGTACCTTGTTACGGCTTACCTCTCTCAAGTTCTCGCTGTAGGACCTTTTTTGTTGACTTTGTAACATTGGGTGCTACATTACATACCGGATAACAGGGTGAAACGATCGGCATGACGGAATCCTCAAATTGGGTAAGATTTTTATACTCAATTCTACGACCATTTCTATCAGGTATGTAATTTGTTAACATCACTGGAGTTTGGCATGGCCAGCGACTCCACATCTTGAAGAACTCTTGTAGGACATAGGTCACTGTCAGTTCCTCCTGATGCTTGATTGACATGTACGTCTTTACGAGTAACAAGGTCCAAGCACTCCCGTTGAGATAACCAATGGGTTTACTATAAATACCACGTTCTGTTGCCCAATGCTTGATGCATTGTAAACATGTCTGAAATAGCCTTACATGCTGTTGTTTGATCTGGCTTTTACAGAACTGATTCACACGAGGACCATCCATGCTTGCTAAACAAGCTTCATCAATATCCATCAATAAAGAATCATCCAGAAAGTTAATGTTGGGAATCACTTTATCAATCCTAAGTCGGACGAATGAAATGTCAACCTACGCAATATATCAGTCCAAGGCTGATCGAATGAATATATATATATATATATATATTTTATCTTACAGGTATTTTGTCAATATTAAACTTGATAATAGGGACAGTGGCCCTTTGTACCGTCTGTATTGATTCATTCATGAATAAAAAAGAAGGGAGAATAACAAGTTTTGGTATCAATGGTTTACCTCTAAGCCTGTTACTTGTGGTTGCTGCTTTAACAATGGTGGGAAAAGTTTGAAGAAATCCCTTCGATGGACGGATTGAGGACATACTAGGATAAGGTCAATATCTGCATTTCTAAGATACCCACCTAGTGCGTATGATCCAAAAGGTAATAGAGCACATCCAATGTCTCCCCTTTTCCAATCATGTTCCTTGGCCACTGCTCTTGAAAAGCTAGGTAATATGGCTTCTAGAAGCTTAATGATCGTCTTTCTGTTAATAATAATATGAGATATCCCATTGTATATCTTTCTTTGTTTTTCTTTATTTTTTATATTAAGACTTTACCTTACTTGACTTTCTTCCTCTGTTTCAATAATGTGATATCGTTGTAGGTAACTGAGCCAGTCATCGTTTGTTATGCTTTTTTTTACTGTGGCCATCATTGCTTTTATGCATAAATATATATATATATATATATATATATATACTTATACAGTAAAAAAAAGAAAAGATAAAGGGGAGAGTGGGTATGGGTTTGGTATACTAACAACAAGAGGAAAAAAGAAAAAGTAAAACGCGAGCACGCAGATTGTCTTTTTACCTTTCAAAAAACCCTGTCACAAGCAGTCGATTTTATTTTTATGGGACACTATCTTTATTTTATAGGTATTCCAGAGAAGGGAGCTAAAATTTACTTTTTTTTGTATCTGCGAAGGATTTAGAATATAAGTAAATTGGTCTTTACATAATCTTGAGAGGGGAAAGCAGGATAAAAGTAATAGCTCGATGTGGCTGTATTCTTGGGATTGTTTTATGCAAAAACAACAATCTTTATCCCAAAAGGGAGACCGTGTTCATTACGGCGATTTTAA